GGTAGCCGGGGCTGACCAGAAACAATTAGAGGACCGCCTACGGGAAGTTCTGAGGAGATTCCAAAGTGCGGGGCTCAAGGTTAAGAGAGAGAAGTGCCAACTGCACACGGCACGGGTCGAGTTCCTGGGGTACTTACTAGATCGGCATGGAATCCACCCCACCGAGGGCAAAATAAAAGCCGTTAAAGAAGCCCCGAAGCCCCGAAACAAAACGGAATTACAAGCGTTCCTGGGGTTGATTAATTTCTACAATGTTTTCCTGCCCCAAAAGGCGACCGTGGCGGAGCCGTTGCATAGGCTGCTCGACAAGGCAGCCACCTGGACGTGGGGGAGACGAGAAGAGGACGCCTTCAACAGAACCAAGGACCTTCTCACATCAGACGCTGTCCTCATCCAGTACAGCGAGACACTCCCCATCACGGTAACGTGCGACGCATCCCCTTTCGGAGTAGGAGCCGTCCTCAGCCATACCCTCGCCGACAGAAAAGAAGCACCCATCGCCTTTTTCTCGAGGACCCTTTCAAAACCCGAACGAAACTACAGCCAATTGGATAAAGAGGCTCTAGCCATCGTCGCGGCCGTAAAGAAATTCCACGAATACCTTTACAGCAGGACTTCACCATAATCACGGACCACAAACCGCTGCTGGGAATACTGGCAGGAGACCGGGCCACCCCAATCATCCTCTCTCCAAGGATGACAAGGTGGTCCGAATTTCTCGCCGCCTATAACTACCGGCTAATCCACCGCCCCGGTAAGACAATTCCGCACGCAGACGCCCTCAGCCGCACACCGCTGCCAACCCTGGACGCCGACCCAGCACCAACCACGTCAACCCTGAGCATCGAGACCTTACCCAACCTACCTCTGACCGCGTCAGACATTGCCCTAGCAACCAATAAAGACAAACGTCTGGCGCAGGTCCTGAGATGGGTGGGGAAAGGCTGGCCGGAAAAAGACGGGGACAGCGAGTTCAAAGCTTACCGGAACCGACAAACAGAACTGTCAATACAAAAAGGTTGTTTACTGTGGGGGGACAGGGTCGTAATTCCGGAAAAGTTACAAAAAAGAGTCCTGAGCATGCTGCACGAAGGGCACCCCGGCATCATCAGGACAAAAGCCCTGGCCAGAAGCCACGCCTGGTGGCCAGGGATGGACAAGGAGATCGAAGCCTGGGTAGCCGCCTGCAAACAGTGCCAGGAATCAAGACCAAACCCCCCAGCCGCCCCAATCCAGGAGTGGGAAACCCCCAGGGGGCCATGGTCCCGAATCCACGTAGACTTCGCAGGACCAACCAGAGGACACACCTTCCTGGTAACCGTAGACGCTTACTCCAACTGGCTGGAGGTAAGCAACATGAAGACAACCACCACAGACTCCGTCATCAGACAACTCAGCAAACTCTTCGCAACCCACGGCCTCCCGGATGTCATCGTATCAGACAATGGGCCCCAGTTCACCGCACTACCGTTCGAGAAATTCTTAGCAGAACAAGGGATCCAGCACGCACTAACGGCACCAGCGCACCCGGCGGCGAACGGTAGAGCGGAGAAAATGGTTCAATTTACAAAAAAGACCATTCAAAAGATCGAAACCGGGGACATACAGGACAAGATTAATCGGATGCTCCTAATTCAACACATAACCCCGAGTACCACAACGAACAAAAGCCCAGCGGAGCTACTAATGGGAAGAAAACTGCGATCCCCGCTCGACCGCCTGCACCCCACATACAACCCGGAAAGACCCCCTGACTCTACCAGCAAATACAGAACATTCTCACCGGGAGACAAGGTCTACGCAAGAAACCTCACCGGAGACCCCCTCTGGGTACCGGCAACGATCACCCAAGCAACAGGCCCACTCTCGTACCGCCTCCAAACAGATGACGGACGAGCGTGGAAACGCCACATCGACCAACTGAGATCAAGAACCACCGCGGGAAACACAACCGACACGCAGACACCAGGTACAGAAGGAAACCGGCAAGACACCAACCAAGAGGGGAGGGAAGCCCCCAAAGAACAAAAAGAACAAACCCACCCGAAAAGGAACCAGCAGTACTCACCATCTGAAGAACCGGAGAGCGACCCACTCGAAGCCTCACCTGGAAGGAGCAGCCGAGCCAGCTCAACCGACCCCGGAAGCCCGAGCGGGAGCAGCCAAGCCAGCTCAACCAGCCCGGAAAAGCCGAGCGGGAGCAGCGAAGCCAACAGCTCGACCGACCCGGGAAGACCAGGAGGGAGCCGCGGCGAGAGGCCTGACTCACCCTTCCAGGCGGTTCCATCAACGAGGCGGAGAGCGACAGGAGTCCCACCCGAACCGGCCGACAAACAGGAGACAACTGACCAGCGCAAGTCAAGTCGGAAAATACGGAGCCCCGCCTACTTACAGGACTACGTCACGTAGGACCAAACCAAGAGGGGAGGGGTGTTCTGTACAGACATCTGCATACTCGAAATCCGGCAGCCCGGATTGGCTAAAGCGCACGGCCACCGGATTGGCTGAGTGCGCGGCACTGATTGGTCGCTCGGAATCGACCGCGATTGGCTGAGCCGATCGCGGGCGATTCAAAACGACCCGATTGGCCGCAGCACTCAGCAGAAAGCCTTTTAAGCCGCGTTTCTTCCCCACTCTCCCCACTTGTGTTTTTACCCCCAATAAATGAGCTGAACCAAGTCACTAACTCGCGTCCTTTGTTCGTATGAGATATACGACAGGTTGGAAATAAGGAAAAATGGCAATTTAATAGGCAAGTTTGCAGGGTAAGGAGTGAGTGGGTGGGGAGGGTTCCCGCAGGCCATGTGGGCAGCGCAGCCTGGATTAATTGCTTTGGGGGGTGGGGTGCTCTGGGGGTGAGATTTCTCTGCAGCTCACCAAAATTTTCTGATGACCCAACAGTGGGCCGCGGCCCACTGGTTGGCAACTGCTGTAGTGAAGTGTGCATAATAAAAGAAATGACAGAAAATGACTGCAGAGAACCAGTCTACCCATATTTTTCAAGAACTAGAAGGTCTAAAGATGGACTTTCAGAACTTCTATCAAAACGTATTATGCAGCTTTCTTCCCCTAAAATTTCTGACAAGAAAAGAGAAAGGGAATGTAAAAATGATGAAAAACAGCTTTACCTGGCATCTCCTCTAGCTACCCTACAAGATTCCATGGGTTAGACCAGGGTTTCTTATCTTGGGCAAGTTTAAAAAGTGTGAAACTAAACTCCCAGAATTCGTCAGCCAGCAATTTTGGGATTTGTAGTCTACATGTCTTAAAGTTGCCAAGGTTGAGAAACCCCACATTACTGCTGTTGTATACTCTACATCCAAATTTTTTTCTTTAATTCATAAGGATTTAGATGGCTTGGTTTTCCTGATTGCCAACATGGGTTGCTTTTGCTTCTTTATTCATAATAGAGTTTCATTCTGGGATTAGTTTTTAACTCTTGAAAGCATAATGTATAGACTCCCCAATAATCTGCTACATGCTTGGAGTAAACTTGTGTTTGTTCCAAGTTCACAGAAGTAAATCAAATAACCAGAGGGGTTTAGAACTGACAGCTATAAATTATATTACCAAGGGGCAATATCCATATTAACAGCTTAAGGAAAGTGGTTAAGGCTCCAGGGTAGAAGCCAGGAGTTCTAGTCCTATTTTAGGCATGAAAGTAGGCTGACTGATTTTCAGACAGTCACTCTCTCTCAGTCCACAATGTCTAGCTCTGGCAACAAGTCAAGTGGTCAATGGATCAGTTGATATGGAAAAAAACAAGTCGGTACTGCAATTATAAAGAAAATATAACCATAACAACTTCACAATAATTTCCTGGTTTTTAATTATTAGGCTAAATAAATGACAAAGTTAGCATATGGACTTTCAGCTCATTTCTTTTTTCTGGGGACCAAAACAGAATTAAAAACCTCTGCACCTGAGATAATTAAAAATCCACGCAGCCATCAACATATTAAAAGAAAAAAAGAAAAACTAAAAGAATATATATGGAAATGGAGCAAGAGAAAGCCAGTATGACAAAGAGAAAAAGAATATTTTAATCCCATTTGTCATACTTTCCTTGACCATAGCAGAATGCAAACGAAACAAGTATCTTTCAAGAATTTTAGGTAGATTTATAGTATTTGTGAAAAACAAAGCAAAAGGACCCTGCTTTCTGATGTCCAGTGTTTTAGTAATAGAATAATATAGTTTCAGGCTGCTTACTTCTGATCTTCTGAGAACCTATTCTCACACAGTGCCACCATTATGGCATTAATAAGACTTGCTTTCAACATAGGGGGCCCTGGCGGATTTCCTTAGGAAAATAATCTTTTTTAACAATAACATCTACACAATAGTTGTCAATACGTTGATTGGAGATAGGAAAACCAACCCTGTCCTCATTGGATACTCTGTTAGCCATCTACATCCACAGGATTGTTGCCATTTTAGGAAGAAAACGAAAGGAGAACTTCAAAAAAATAAATTAATGTTGATCTTAGGTTGTTTCTAGGCCATAAAAAGACATGTTAGTGGTCATATACCAAAAACTGATGACACGAGATAAGAACCGACATTAAATTTCATTTTATATACTGCATACTTCCTTCAAATGGGAGATCGATAGATATTAGTCTTCTCTGAAGCTCCTCTGCTGTGAGACCAGTGGGTTTCCTTGCCCAACTAGTTAGTCACCATGAGAACGGACTGCTGGATTAGATAGGCCAGGGGTTTGATCCAGCAGAGCACTGCTTATGTTCAGATTAAATACAACACATATCTCCATGTTTTGCCTAGTTAAGAGATGTGGTGTGGAAATCAAAAGTCTTGGTCAGCAATTTTTGCACAAAATTATTTTATGTGTGCAATTCACTCATCCAGTTGAAAAGGAGATAGAAACTGGTTGCCCAGTTTTCACATATGAGAAATATCTATCTGAAACTTAGAAGTATTTCCCAATCTTCCTCAACAAATATGCTCCACCCAGACAATTTGTTAAGGGGGAGGAGTAGACAGAAAGCTGAAAGTCCATTATAGAAATGAAAAGCAGCTGGACTGGAGATTGTACATTCTGACAATTCTGCTAAAGGAAACAGAAGTGACTAAGAAGTACCATACAATAATATCTCTTTTGCTGATATATCTCTTTTGTTGTAGGTGGACTTCAAATCAGAGATGGAAAGCTTGGAAATCAAACCTATTAACTGCTCCAAACTGGTGGATGTTGAAGGAATCCAAATGCCCATCGAAATAGTAGAACATTGGGACCTAATAAGTGCTTTTCAAGCTCGGCCTGATGATCTTCTTATTTGCACTTATCCCAAAGCAGGTAAAGAAGAGCCCAGGAATTGTTGGCAGAGCTATGGAGAACCAGGAAATGGAACCAGAATAGCCATGTCAGCTGGCTGAATTCTCTACTCCCTGTATCTTTTTTCCTCCTTCCTCATAGGGACCACATGGATACAGGAAATTGTGGATATGGTCCAGCATAGAGGAGATGTACAGAAATGTGCCCGGGCACCCATTTATGAGCGAAGCCCCTACCTAGAACTTTTCCCTCCAGAGCCCCTCCCTTCAGGTGAGTCTCAAGTGAGGCATTGAGGGAAAATGGTAGAAATAAACATTGTGCTTTGCGATGTGTGAATGTCTCCTCTGACCTTGCAGGCTTTGAATTGGCATTGGCAATGCCTTCCCCGCGAACCCTCAAATCTCATCTTCCAACTCCGCTCCTGCCAACTTCCTTCTGGGAGCAAAATTGCAAGGTTAGAACTATTGGGGTGGGGGCGAGGTGTTTAAAGATTTGGAAGTCTTTAGTCGGTATATCAATGTAAACCAAGCTGTAGGGTTCCATTATGTAATACTTTCCTATTTTAAAGCCCAGGCACTCAATTTTTTTTTCAGAATCCCCTCAATCTTTTGTACTGAGGTGAACAGGATCTATATTTTCCAATCTGGTACTTGTGAGACTACAGTGCTCACATTCAGCACAGCATGATAATAGATGGTGATTGCATTTGAAGAATAGCTCAGGGAAACAGGAATTAACTATGTTTGAACAGCCCAAAATTTTAGCCCTAAATGTTTTGCTTCTCTCATAAATATTTCACTTGGAGAAGATGATGTCACTGAGCCTAAGCAGACTCAGAATTTAATCCGATGCATGTTTGATCTTGGAATCAATTTACATTGCCAAGGTCCTGTTCTACAACATTGTTGGACTTGTCATAACTTAGACTTAGATCCTTGACTCCATTTGTTGAGAAAGATACAGTTTATTGGAGATCAAGTGTATTGCAGTATTGCAAAGCCAGAACTGAGAATCATGTGTCAACATCCCTAAGTTCTACTTTTCCCTCCCTTAACTCTCTCTCACTGCCCCCTCCTGGTTTAACTAATCAGGTTCAAGCAAGATATTTCCATAATGGGGTCCTGCTCCTTCTTCCAGCTGGGTGACCTTGAAGCAGTGTCTCAAGGAAGCATAGTGTTTACTTTTATTTCCCCAAGCATTCCCCCCTTCATTCCCCCTCCCCATAGTTAATGGCATTCTGTTACCACATAGCAGCAAAGAACAAGCAAGCATAAGGTGGGAGCGGATATAAATTTGATAGGAATGAGGACATTTCCCTTTCCCCCCCTTGATTGTTGCAATACTTCTTAATGATGTTTCCTAGTTTGAGTAATGAAATGTCTGCAAGAAAACAGAGAACAACCAAGGATCCCTCATTGTTATAATATTTGTATTTTGTCCATAACAAGTGACATAAGTCTGGGAACTTATTCTGCCCTCTTCACCAAAATTGCTCTAATCCTAAATCATTTGCCTGGGAACAAATGAATGATTAAATTAAAGCTAATGTCTAAGTAGCATTGGACTTGATTATATCTTGGAAGGGGTTTCACTAATGGCCTGGACCACTCTGACAAATAGTCCCTGTAAGTTGAGTTTCTATCAGCTTATGTTCCCCATAATTTTTATTTTCATAGATCATTTATGTGGCCAGAAATGTCAAGGACTGTGCTGTGTCCTATTTCTACTTCCAACGCATGCTTAAACTGTTTCAAGATCCAGGAACGTGGAAAGACTTTCTGGAGAATTTCATTGCTGGGGAAAGTAAGTAGAAACTAATTATGTAAAGAACAAAGCTTTTTATCTGCATATTTTAGGGGAGTAGGTGATCTTGATAACCCTTGAGTTTCCTAACTCATAACACAGGGAATAAGTGGAATTTTTTGGTTAACAACACACATGGTGAGGAGTGAAGAGGTTCTTGTAACAAGAAATTTAAAATGCAGGAAAATCCCATACTAAGCATTTTCTGGATTTACAATTTGGGAAAATGGCTGGGAGCAGATTTGGCTACTCTATCATTTTCTAATTTCTGATTTATTTATTTTTTTGCAGTTGCTTATGGCTCATGGTTTGACCATGTTCTTGGTTGGTGGAAGGCTAAAGACCATCATTCAATTTTGTACCTCTTTTATGAAGACTTAAAAGAGGTAAGCATCTCTCATACATTTATATGTGCTGACGTACTCAGGTGGTATTTTCCACTGAAGAGAACCTTAGGACTTCCAACTATTAATGTTCATCAAATAAGGGTCACTTTTTTCCTACTAATAATAGTTAATAGTGATTTTTAAGGGAAAATATAACTCAATTTTATACAACATATTGGAAATCAAATCCTACATGTTATGATCAGGTTTAAATACAGACCTGTTCATCACAAATAAATATACATACCAACCATAAAGCCACAGATTGGCATCCTAATAACAATGTATATAAAAAATTGTGTGTTTTTTTCAATTGCAATCACTCACAGAACCTTGGGAATCCATGCAATCGCAGTTGAAAAAATGGCCATAGATTAATAAACAGATTTGGATTCAAAAGGGAAAAGGTTAATTGTTTTTTGTTAATTGTTTTTCCTTATTCTTTTATATCAGCTGCTCTATTATAGTCTATCACAGAGGTCCCTACCCTTTTGGGTGCACAGACCAGTTCTGTGGAGAGCAGTTTTTCTGTGGAGCAGGTGGGAGCATGGTTTCGTGGTTGTGCGTGTGCATGTGCATGGAAGGGACATCGCTTGCTTCCTGGCAGGCCAGGGACTTGTGCCGGTCCATGGACTGATGGTTGGGGATCTTTCTATCACAAATCATAGAAAATCTAAATGCCTTATTAATTGGACAATGTGAACATGTGTTATTTTGGGAAATGCTAAATGAGTGGAATGAATTAACTAAAGACTCCTAATTACATCACAAAACACATGGTGTGAAGAGCACACAGAAACATGTTCTCTTCAACAAGACTTTCTATAAGATGAAACTGGATTCTCACAACCTAATTCACTATGTTTCTTACTCTAATATTTCTTTCCTTCCACAGAACCCAGCTCAGGAAATCCAGAAAGTAGCTCAGTTCCTAAATATAGAGCTTTCAGCATCAGTCCTGGATCAGATTGTGCAGCACACCACTTTTGAGTCTATGAAAAACAACCCAATGACTAATTACAGCAACATTCCTTCAGCTTTCATGGACCAAAATGTATCACCTTTTATGAGAAAAGGTAGGAGAATAACACATTTCTAGCTGCATCTGATGGGAAGGGGGCTGTTCTGCTTATTACGCTCTGGATGGGTATAAAGCAGACAAAGCAACTCCACAAAGTATCCATACAAAGTCTTTTTTATTGGTTCATCAGGCATCCTTATCAATTCACATTTATGATGAGGTTCTTGTTAATGTCCAATCATTTGCATATCTGCATTATGGTGTAGAAAGATAATAAACTCTCGTCCCCATGATGATTGAAATGGCTGCATGGTAAAGGATTCAAGCAAGAGTAAGGGAGCCTCCCCCAACCCAACAAGGGTCAATTTAGTGACCAATCAGGATTACAGATGTGACCACATGACATGAACTACATTTCCTAGGATACCTTAATGTTCTGTCTCGCCTGTGGCCACGAGGTGAGGGTCCAAATGTCCAAAGGAAAAAACACGAACAGACAATATCAGAAACAACAGAGTTAACTTTTCTTTGTCTGAATTCGTCATTGGCAGTTTTCCCAGAAGCTGTCTGCAACTTCTGATAATGAGCAGCACTATAAATCAGAGATGAATGGCAAACAGATTACTTTGTCCAAAACTGCAGACGCAAATTAACAAGTTTGACCCGAACGGGGATTCAAAGCTAACAAGCCTCCTTATATTCCCTGAGGAGCGTGTCAGTCTCTTTCCTCAGTCCCTGATTTGACGTCTCCTTCCAGTTTGTGCTTGACGTTTCTGCTTACGTCTGTTCCTTGCATCAAACCAAGATTCTTCGGTTTGATCTTCATCCAAGGGCTCTGGCATGTTCTCCTGATTATCTGCTGACACAGGTGTAACTAATGAGGAAGGTCCTGGAGAGGATGAGGATTCCAAAACTTCCAGCAAAGCAGGTTCAAACCCTAATGCCCTATCTTCTTCTTCCTCTTGGCTCACGTCTGTATCTCCCATCAAAGCAGGCTCAAATCCCAATGCCAAATCTTCCGCATCACTTGAGCCTGTGTCTTCTGACATAGCAGGCTCAAACCTCCTAGTCACAACACCTTAACTACATTTTCCATGATGCATTCCCTTAAGGGGACAGCTCTCAAATCCTAACTAACTATCCCAAATCCCATTAACTCTAAACTGTCTGGGCAGCACACTCCCTGCCGGGAATTGTAAATTCCATTAACTAAAGTAACTGTATAACTAAGATAAACAGTAGAGAGTAATACTAACTGAATAGCAGATAACTATATAACTAAAATAAACAGCTATATAACTAAGAGAAACAATAAACATTAATAAAGCATCAAACAAAGCAAAGCATGCAAAGCTTGAGGTTCAATCTTCAAGTTCAGGCTTTCTCCACAGCAACACTAGGTGGTTGTCTTTTGTGGTTTGTGGCCAGAAAGGCATCAGACAAAACAATCCATTGTTCTAATATTTCTTTTGGGAGTTTGCCGATGATTGCTTCTTGCGTTATGAAGAGATCAAGGCAAGCCAGTCCTGGTAAGTCAGAACATTCTTTGGCTGTTTGCAGTTCCTTAAGGATGTTGGAAAAGTCCTCTAGTCTTCGGGTTTCGTGGATGGTGATACACGGGAAACTGTTAAGTCATTCTAGGAGTGAGTATTCCATCAGTGTGTCCTCACCATATTTCCAGTCCAAAGCATCCCACGCATGTTTTAGAGCAATGCCTGGGTTGTTAAGCATGCTTGTGTAAATGTGTTTCACCATGTAACTAGACTGTGGTCCTAGCCATGCCAATAGAAATGTAATTTCTTCAGTAGGAATCAGCTGTTCACGTTGAATGGTACTTGTGAAAATGTTTTTCCACAGTAGGTCTTCTCTGCCTGGCTTGTTATTGAATTTGTACACACCACTAGCTGCTAAATCTAACCTTCCACACCTTAGTGACAGTTCTCTGTTACTTCTCTGTGAGGGCAGGTCATCTCTTCATATGACGTCCTCGTAGGCGTAGCATTCTGGCTCAAGGGCATGTGTTGTGGACGGTACATGGGTTGCCTCAGAGTACTTTATGAGATCATTACCTGTCCCCACATATGTAGGTAGTACTTGAGGTTGGGTGTATGTTCCACACTGTGCATTAGATGTCTTGCGGTTGTGGCAAGAACTCTTTTGCCTGTGGATTGAGTGTGGCAATTGTGATTGGTTGCAGGTCAACTTATTGAGTTGATGTGAGCACTGGTGGGTTAATTTGCTTGCCTGGCAGGCCATGAGACATTGGGTTAGGGTTGCTGATTCTGGGAAGAAAATTCGGACTTTAGGTCGTACAACATCAATTGGGGAAGATTTGCTGTTGGTGGGAAGTGAAATCTCCTATTTTAAGTCCTACAACGTCCATTGCATGACTGAGTTTTAGAGTCTGTGGTTGAGATTCACTCCTATGCTTCCCTGGCTGTGGGAGACTGCTAGGCAACTGAGGCTCATTTTGTAGCGAGTGCTGCTCATCCACGTAGGCCTTGACCCGTGTATCTGGGTCTCTTCTCCCAACTCTTCGAGGTGAAAGGTGAAGGAGGCATTGTCGGTCACCTTCCTCAGTGCTGTGACCTGTGCTGTTTTTGTTTCCAAGTCCCTTTGTCTTTTGGCCAACTCCAGTTCGACCTGAACTTTGGCCAATTCTGCCTGTTGGTTGGCTTGGGCTTTGGCCAGTTCTGCTTGTTGTTCGGCCTGGGCCTTGGCCATTTCTACTACTTTGGCTGCTATTTCTGCCTGTTGAGCCACTACTGCTGCCTTCTGCCATGCTACTTCCTCTGTGGCATGTAGATCTGCATCTGCTACAGCAGCTTCTACCTCAGCCTCTGCTGTTCAGTTGGGGTAACTTGCTGCTTTGGAAGCCTTAGATCCGCCACTGCAATGGGAGGATGCTCTGGAGGGATGGTGAGACCCAGCAGCAGAGAATTGGCACGAGACACTGGAACCTGCTGGCAATCTAGCCAGTTTGGGATGGAGGGAGGAGGCTTTCCTCGAATGGTGGGAAGAAGGTGCTTGCGATTGAAGACTTATGTCAGATGTGGCCCTCTCCCTTGTTCCTTGTTCCTTTTGAAGCGCATCGAAGATCGCAGCCTGGAGGGAGTTTCTGCCTTCCCAAATACTGTCTTCGTGTTCGTTGTTCACCTCCTTAAAGCAATGAATGTGTTCTTGGAGCTCTGAGTCTTCCAGGCTCGATATGTATTTAAGCTTATTTTCACTGTCCCTCTACCATGCGAGATGCTCCTCTAACTTCTTCTGCATTAGGAATTTATTGCTTACTCACTGGAAGAAAAATTCATCAAACAAATACAGCAAAGGTTGCATGCAGTGTTATACTTTTAAATCTTCTAGTAGATATAAGTAGATATAAGATGGATAAACTCTAGGCAAAAAAGATATAGCTGCTTGAATTAGCTTTGTGTCTTGGGGGGTGGGAATGGGCTCCTTTGTTTTGAAGACAAAGGTCTTTCAGTAATGAATTACGACCCCCAATAAAACCGGCAGAGAACACAGAGCCTCTCTTAATTGCCTGTTCGAAGCAGGTTAGAGCTTAAGAAATGCTGAGCTTTTCAGTTTGAATGAACAGAGCAGATTTAGCTTTTCTTTTAGAACACAAGAAGATACTACTTTTGACTCTTCATCTGCATTTGAAAGGAGTTTGTAGGTAGTAACCGAGGGAAGACAGGGGTACATGGGTAATACCTGTTTCCTCCTTTTGTTTTACAAATTGGTTCTTTCTGAGTTAGGAACTGTAATTTGAGACAGAGCACTTCTTTCGCTGAAGAGAAAAGGGGGAGAATTGCCCCTTCCTGCAACCATGATGAGAGGTTTAAGGGAGAGAGAACCAAAGTACAAAGGAATAGCATGCACATTTACTCCTGGCTTCAAATATCTTTGTTCTTTATGACAAATTCAAATTACTTTTGCTTCACTCTACTTCAGGGGTGGGATTCTATAGGTTCACACCTATTTGGTAGAACCGGTTGTTAACATTCTAAGCAGTTCAGAGAACCAGTTGTTAGAATAAATTGCTGGCCTAATCCTGTAAGGAAGGCAGGAAGGAAACATCCTGGTGTTGCTTACAGAAACTGCTTCTCCATTAACTCTTATTACATTCTTGGCAGGACTAGACTTCATGTCTCAGGAACTTCTCTGGAGTTCCCCCCCCCTCCTTTGCTGGTACTTTGCTTGTGTGGAGTGACCATTCAAAGTTGCACCTGAAAAAATGACCATTTTTCACATTTATGACTGTTGCAGCATCCCCATAGTCGTGAGAGGCCAAGCAAGGAGATGTGTGTCTTGATGTGAGTGATATTGAGTTGGCCATGCCCAGCCAGTCACATGACCACCAAGCCATGCCCACCAACTAAGCCACGTGCACAGAACTGGTTGTTAAAAAAATTGAATCCCATCCCTGCTCCACTTCTTCCAAGAATCAAGAGTAATTATCTTTCTACTGTTCTGTTTATTACGCTTTGGATGGGTATAAAGCAGACAGAGCAACTCCACACCGCATCCATACAAAGTCTTTTTTATTGGTTCATCAGGCATCCTTATCAACTCACATTTATGATGAGGTTCTTCTTAAAGTCCAATCCTTTGCATATCTGCATTATGGTGTAGACTCTCATCCCCATGATGATTGAAGCGGCTGCATGGCAAAGGATTCAGGCAAGAGTGAGGGACCCTCCCCGAGCCCAACGAGGGTCAATTTAGTGACCAATCAGGATTACAGATGTGGCCACATGACATGAACTACATTTCCCAGGATACCTTAACTACATTTACCATGATGCATTCCCTTAAGGGGATAGCTCTCAAATCCTAACTATCCCAAATCCCATTAACTCTAAACTGTCTGGACAGCATGGGGACTGTGTTGGATTGGGTTGAACAGTTGGAAGATTAAAGAGGAAGTAATATATTGCTGCCCAGAATAGTTCCTAAAATAACTAGAAAGAGGTGCCAAATTAGAAGGACTTCTGAGCAGTCAAAACGGTTGAGAAAGAGTGCAGAAACCTGTTGGGTCAGAACAGTGTTTCTCAACCTTGACCAGGCTAAGATGTGTGGACTTCAACTCCCAGAGGCCTGTACATTTTAACATGGCCAAGAGTGTGAAGCACTAGGTTTGAACAAAAAATGCTCGAAATTTAGATTGTTGAGATTTTTTCCTTGTCTTTCTCTAAACTGTTTTACTTATCTCTAGGCACTGTAGGGAATTGGAAGGAACACTTCACAGTGGCTCAAAGTCAACAGATCGATGAAATCTACGCTCAAAAACTAGGCAACACTGGTTTGAAGTTCCGCACAGAGTTATAAACAGACTTCACAGTGCCTTCAATAAATAATTTTTAATCAGCTGATTTCTACCTGAGTTAAAGAAATAACTACAAATTTGCAAGCAATGGTAGAAGGTTCTTTTATGATGGGTGGGATTGCAATTTTATTAGCCTTTCCCTTAGAAAGGAATTGCCCTGAGATGAATGGAAAACACTAACCTCATAATCATTCTCTCTGATGATGAGATAAAGAATGAGTACATTTTATTTGATTAACCTTGTCCTTTTCCCAAAGATCTCAGAGAAGCACACATAATTTACATTTTACCCTTACATGAATTTAGCTTGTGCATTATGCAAGAAAAAGAAGAGTAAGAAAATAAAGATCTAAATTATAACCAAACATAGCATATCCTTCTCTCCATGTCCTAATCGGATTTCTGTTGGGAGAAAAACTTGTGGCAAATGGCTATTTTCTACAAATCTTATTAAATTAATCTCCACCTATTCCTCTGTTGGCCCTGCTGACTAAACAAATATTTAACAATCACTCATTCAGCTACCTTTTGAGGTTACAACAGTGCTGAAAATGTGGTACTTTTGACCTTCCTTAAAGTTCAGCTGTTCGAGCAGCCACTTGGTCTCATAATGACCATCTGGACATTTGGCACCTGACTTACACCAACAAAGGTTGCAGAGTCCCATGGTTATCCAATTGCCATTTGACACCTCTCTGCTGGCTTTTTGTTATATATTTGCATGCTTGGAATACTGCATTGTGATTGGTCCTCAATACTGCCTTTGATTGCTCTGTCTTGAATACTTGTAATACTGTCTTTTAATTGGTCCGCCTGACGGCGGGAATTTCAAGGAGCCGTCATTGGCTGCGAGCAGCCGCTATAAAGAGGCTGCCACAGCTCCGGTTTTGTTGAAGTCACTAAGAGCTAAATAAAAGAGCTGAAATCTAACTGGTCTTGAGTGCTCCTTCCCGCGACAGAACACTGGCGACGAAGGTGGGATTCTGAGACACAGGAGACCAGTTGAGCATGTGGCAATGAGAACCGAGCAAAAGACGAGATGGCCGGCAGCAACTCGCCATCCGCACTGTTCAACCCAGCAACGGAGGACTGGGAATCAACAGATTCCTCATGTTCCTCGAGAGCAATGAGTTACAAGGGATATCCAACAACAGTAAGAGAGCCGTTTTCCTGACCCTCTGTGGGCCCACAGTCTTCAAGATGGCCAAGGCATTGGCCAAACCCCAAGACATTAAACAGATGGCGTGGCCAGATTTGGACCAGCTACTGAGAGCCCATTATGCACCGACAGTCTCCAGTCTTATTTGGAGACATGAATTCTACAAGAGAGACCAAAAAGAAGGTGAGAGCATCGGGGATTTCGTGGCGGCTCTAAGGGACATTGGAGGGGCGTGCAAGTTCCTCAACAGCGATGAAGCCATGAGGGACTGTGTGGTCCTCGGACTGAGAGACCTCACCTTACAGAGCCGACTGCTGACCCAACCCAACATCACCGTAGCTGAAGCCACCGCAGCTGAAGCAGCAAAAAAAAATCAGCAGACACCATGCGGCTAATGAATATAACAACCCAAGAAGCTTCAGGAGAACCAAGCCAAGCCCAAGACAAGAAACCAGAGGGCACTCAGCAGCCCATCACCACAACCATCCACCATGAGGATATTGAACCCTTGTCCGAAACCGATGACAAGGAAGAAGAGAAACATAGACTCCAGTTGGAATGAAATAGACGAGAGAGGAGAGAAAGGAAGTCGGAATACCATTGTGCCGGGTGCAGAGGAGACCACCTAAGTTCTGAGTGCAGTTTCCTCAATGCCGTTTGCAGGCACTGCGAGAGACGGGGGCACATAGCTAGCATCTGCTGGAACAAAAATAGCTATAGCCCTAGACGAAGAGGCACCCCCCCCCCAGAACGAGAGAGAAGCAGACAGGGAGGGAGCCGTTGGAGCCAAGAAAACGGAAATAAGTAAGAAGTAAGAAGTAAGTAAGCATCTGCGGAGACTATAAGGCCACCCTCAACCACGGGCCAGAACAAAGCGCATACCCCGTTCCGGTGGTACAATACCTCTTATATTCATGGGGGGAGGAAAAGTTTTCACGAAGCTCGACCTTGCACAAGCGTACCAGCAATTGCCAGTTGACCCAGAAACAGCAGAGGCACAGACAATTGTGACTCACAGGGCGGCATTCAAATGCAAAAGGCTGCCATTTGGAGTTAGCGTGGCCCCAGGTGTCTTCCAAAGCTTGATGGAGCGCCTTCTGCAAGGAATCCAGGGAGTGGTCCCATATTTTGATGATGTATTGGTATCCGCCAGGGATAAAAAACAACTGGAAGGCTGGCTGAAGGAAGTCTTACAAAGATTTAAAGAGGCGGGACTCAAAGTTAAAAGAGAGAAATGCCAGCTAGCCACCAATTAGGTTGAATTCCTGGGATATCTCATAGATAAAGAAGGGTTCCACCCCACCGAGAAGAAAATCAGGGCGATCAAAGAAGCTCCCAGGCCCCAAAATAAAACGGACTTACAAGCATTTTGGGGACTTATTAACTTTTATAATGTCTTTTTGCCACAGAAGGCAATGATGGTGGAACCATTTCACATATTACTGAATAAGAAAGCTACCTGGACCTGGGGGTGATGAGAAGAAGCCACATTCTAGGGAGTCAAAGACTTACTGACATCCAAATCTGTACTAATGCAATACAGCGAAACCCTGCCACTAACCTTAACCTGCGACGCATCTCCGTTCGGCGTCGGGGCTATACTCAGCCACACTTTACCCTATGGGAGAGAAGCACCGATCGCGTTCTACTCCAAAACACTATCCAAGGCAGAGAGGAATTACAGCCAACTAGACAGGGAAGTGCTCACCATAATAACTGGAGTCCAACGATTCCATGAATACCTCTACAGCAGGACCTTTTCACTAATCACAGACCATAAGCCTCTCCTAGGAATACTTGCAGGAAACAAGGCCACCCCCAACATCCTGTCAACATGAATGATGAGATGGTCAGACTTCCTTGCCACATATAGTCACAATTTAATCCACCAGCCAGGGAAGACCATATCACACACTGACGCCCTGAGCCGTTCACCCCTACCTGAATTGGAAGACGACCCGGCACCAACCACATCCATTCTACAAATTGAGACATTACTGAACCTACCCATAGCCGCATCAGACATCGTGAAAGAAACCGCAAGAGACAAAAAGCTGATGCGGATTTTAAACTGGGTAGGTAAAGGGTGGCCGGAAACCAAGAATGATGAGACTTTTAAGCCATTCTGCAACCGACAAACTGAACTCTCAATTTTGAAGGGATGTGTACTATGGAGGGATTGGGTTATCATACCGAAAATACTAAGGGAAAAAGTACTGTATATATTGCATGAAGGACACCCGAGTATCGTAAGAATGAAATCCCTGGCCAGGAGTTACGTATGGTGGCCAGAGATGGATAGAGATATTGGGACATGGATGGAAACATGCACACAATGCCAAAAGTCCAGACCTACCCCCCTGTCCTCGACTGGGAAACACCAAGGGGCCCCTGATCGAGGATACACATAGATTTCACAGGACCCACAAAAGGACACACATTTTTGATAATAGTAGACGCTTACTCCAATTGGCTGGAGGTAAGCGTCATGCATTCCACAACAACAGAGGGCGTAATCAAACAGCTGAGGAAGCTGTTCGCAACACATGGGCTACCGGATCTATTGGTCTCAGACAACGGACCGCAGTTCACAGCATTGACTTTTGAAAGGTTCCTCGCTGAACAGGGAATAAAGTATGCCCTAACAGCACTGAGTCAGCTGGCTACGAATGGGCAAGCAGAATGCATGGTTCGGTTTACTAAAGAGACACTAGACAAACTAGACACGGGTGACATCCAAGACAAAATCTATAAAATGCTAACCATACAGCACATAACACCAAACACCACAACTAATAAAAGCCCAGCAGAACTGTTGATGGGCAGAAAACTGAGGTTGCACCTAGGTAGATTACACCCCACATACAGTCCTGAAAAGCCAACAGACTCCTCCAGTAAGTACTGCACATTTGGAACAGGGGATTTGGTCTATGCAAAAAACCTTACGGGGACCCACTTTGGATACCGGCTAAAATAACCCAAATAACGGGACCCTGGTCTTACAGACTAGAGACAGAGGACGGTAGAAACTGGAGGAGACACATAGACCAACTGAGATCAAGAACACTAGAAAGAAATACTGAAAACCCTAGGAGCGAAGGAGAAGAACACGCACACACACAAGAACCACAAACATCAAAAAATAATAATAATCAAATCAGAGAGGGGGGAGACCCCTCAAACGCAAATGAAAGGGGAGGGGGAGACCCTCCACTAATACGACAAACAACGAAACAAAACATAGCAACAATTCACCAACCAATACCATTAGTAGCCCCGGTAAGAAATCACAATTACTTACCTGAAGATTTCTGAAGAAGGGAGCAGGCAGTGGGAAGTCAACACGAAGCCGCTCCTGGAGAAAGCAGCCAAGTCGACTCAACCAGCCCGGGTAGACCAGGCGGGAGCAGCAACCGAGCCGACTCAACCAGCCCGAATAGACCAGGTGGGAGCGGCATGGCTGACTCACCCTTCCAGGAGGTTCCACGGAGAAAGACGGGAGAAACAGCGATCCCATCCAAACAGGCTGAAGACAACACCACAACTGAATTGCGCAGGTCAAGTAGGAACCATAGAAGCCCCACCTACTTATGCGACTATGTAATGTAGGTTGGACCAAACCAAGTGGGGAGGGGTGTTATATATTTGCATACTTGGAATACTGCATTGTGATTGGTCCATCAATGCTGCCTTTTGATTGGTCCTCAATACTGCCTTTGATTGGTCCATCCTGAATACTTGTAATACTGTCTTTTAATTGGTCCATCTGATGGCGGGAATTTCAAGGAGCCGTCATTGGCCGCGAGCCACGAGCAGCTGCTATAAAAGAGGCTGCTGCAGCTCCGGTTTTGTTGAAGTCACTAAGAGCTAAATAAAAGAGCTGAAGTCTAACTGGTCTTGAGTGCTCCTTCCCGCGACAGAACACTTTTCATAAACAAGGTCAATGGGGAAGTTTTCAGGGAAGATCGCAGGTTGCCTTGGTAAGACTCTCCCACTGCCTCCCACCTCACAGAAGTCACTCTGGGCTCCACCATGATCATACCTTAACCTACCCATTAGCCAGCTGGTAAGCTGTCTGTGACTTATCATAGAAGAGAATACTTATAGCTTGAAGTTGAACTGTGGGGTCCTTGGTGTTTTCTGAGCTTGATGGTTTTCTTGCAGATATTTCGTTACCAAACTAGGTAACATAATCAGTATAAACCTCCATTCTGGGATTTGTTTTTAATAGTCTACTAAATGTTTGGAGCAAACTTGTACTCTGGTTCAGGTTAACATAAACTAAATTGTCATGAGGTTTAGAACTTTATGACTGACAGCTATAAATTACGTGACCAATGGTCAAGGCTCTGTGTTAGAAACCAGAAGACTTTAAGTAGTCCCACCTAAGGCATGAAAAGTGGTTGGGTGATTTTGGGCCAGTCAGTCTCTCTCTCTCTCTCTCTGTCTCAGTGCACAATGTCAGGCTTGGGTGACAAGCCACTCGGTCAAATTCTGTTGCAATAGATTGACATTTGGTTGTTTGGGAAAGAAAAAAGTAAACCCTGCACTTGCATGAGAGAAAAAAATCATAGGTACTTGAGG